TACTTTATTTTGAGAAGCTAAAGTTTTATCGGAATAACATAAAGAAAGGAAATTATATATATTAATGTAAAGATGTGTATGAAAGAAATTTGGATATTCTAAAAATAATGGCACCGTTACGCAGGTTGGAATTGTGGGAAGAACAGGCGCCGGGAAATCGTCGCTCATAGCAGCATTGTTCCGATTGGCAAAGGTGGAGGGAATCATCGAGATTGACGGCGCGGACACGGGTTCGATAGCTTTGGAGGATTTGCGACGCAAAATATCCATCATTCCTCAGGATCCCGTTTTGTTCTCAGGCACTCTGAGACGTAATCTAGACCCTTTCAATGAATTTCCCGACACAGATTTGTGGGCGGCACTTGAAGAGGTTCGAATAATTTCTAATTAAAAAAAGTAGATCTACGCTTAATCGGAAACGTTACGCTGTGACGTCCAAAAATCTTACAGTTCCGACGTTGCAGCTCCAAAGATTTATTTTAAAATTCTAATTTCCAAAGATTCGAATAAAATTCCGGGATTCTTGACCCGTGTACCATCTAACTTCAAGTCACATGGTTCTAAGATTATTGAATAATTACAAACCTTTTGTACCATCCAATAATTTCTTTTGTCACATGTTCCAGGTTGAGCTGAAGGAAGCGATTACTATCGGAAACGGCTTGGAAAGTCACGTGTATGACAGAGGCAGCAATTACAGTGTCGGACAGAGACAGTTGGTATGCTTAGCGAGAGCCATCCTGAGAAACAATCGTATTCTGATGCTGGACGAGGCAACAGCAAATGTGGATCCGCATACCGACGCGTTGATTCAACGGACTATTAGGAAGAAATTTGCGACGTGCACTATGCTTACAGTGGCGCATCGACTAAACACTATAATGGACAGCGATAAGGTTTTGGTGATGGATAAAGGCCATATGGCTGTAAGCATCAATTTCCTTAAAAAGACATTTTCTGTAACTTAAATGATAATATTAAAGTTTGCAATTTTAGACTCTCTTTAGATTTGGACATTTGAGAACACAAAAATTTGGATTTTAAACAAATCTTTTGTTTCTTGTTATTTTTATATGATTTCTTTTATGTGAAGTGCTTGAGGCTGTTTCTTTCCCTAATATATGAAGGAATTTATTTATCTATTTATTCTAGAGAAACATTTTAGAATTTTTTTGCATAACTTTTATATAAATTTTGTAATTTTTAGAAAATTTTTCAGATTTCTTACGA